GTATGTGTGTGTGTGGTAGAAGTATCGTTTTTTGTACTCTGTATCGGCAAGTACTCAGATCCAAGTATCGGTATCGTATCGGTTTGAAAAAATTGGTATCGTTGCATCCCTAATATATATATATGTATATAACAGATATCTAGCAATTCTAACTGTACCCCGACCTCCAGGCAAGAGCCTGATTAGTTGCCCAACGTCCCTGAACTGGCTCCTCTTGACATGAAGTTGGAGCCAACTTCGAGCTGCGTCAGGATGTATGAACTCTTCACCTTTCAGAGGAAACTCAGAGGAGCTGACCTCATACTTCAGGCTGTTACCCAGATCATGACCACAAGGGCGGGTTAAAGATTGACCAGTAAATCCAAAGCTTTCAGATCTTCCCATCAGAAAACTACATCTCAGAGAAGCTGACTCTGGTCTGCTCTGAACAACAACTTATTTCTTACCTTTTTTCACTTTATAAAAAGTGTTCTGTGCAGAAACTATTTCTCTACTCTGCAGCTAATCAGGCAGTTCAAACCCGTGTTTGAAGCTCTCACCTCGGTTCTTTGGGTGCTCTGCCAGTCCGGGTCCAACACCGGCCCCTCGTCTGGGTTCTGCAATCCCGTCTCCAGGACGACAACTATGGGACGCCCGTAATCTGTCGTCTCCTGTTTGTCGTATTACATTTTCGTGTTTAAGGACTCACACATAATGGGAATCATTTGACCGTGATTGTGCCCGGGCTGTTTCTGACCTGGACGGAGAAGCCAAGGCGTTGGCATTTCTGACTTCCTGTCTGCAGAAGCAAACTTCGGGGCTGCTGCCGATCCGATTCGTCCAGCACTGCCCGGGGAGGGAAACGCCTCTCATCCAACAGCAGACTGTACCAGACCGCTGAAGAGGAGGAGGAGGAGGAAAATGTGAAACAGAGGCTTAAATGTGGCACAATGAGACTGTAAATACAAAGAGAGCAGACTTTTACAGGTCCTTCAGAGGATATGAAAGGAAGTGATGTCATCTTTTGTAGTCGTTAGTCTGAACTGCTCCACTTATGCTTCCAAAAATGTTTTAGGAGCATTTATAGGAATAAATTAGAAACAAGTCCACTGACAAGTCGCCTCAAAGGTACTTTATATGACAAAGGTAAAGAACCTACAGTGTTAGGGAGAAAACCACAACAGTCAGATGCTTATCAATGGTCACCACTTAGCAACACTGGGGAGAGAGAACTCA